ATGTGCTCTTAATGACTGCCAACAGAAGACAGATAGCAACATGTTTGCACTAGAGCCCTTATTTTTATCACTAGTGTTTGAACAGCTGGTATTATAAAAGAATACATTATTGTAATACTCCCTATCTCATCTAAGTTGAAGGCCAAGGAAAAATGTGATGTCCTGACTACAAGCAGTTACCGAGAGAGGTGGGGGGTGGGGAACCAAGCTATCTAGGATATGTGTATGTTATGTGCCATCTAGCTGGAATGGACTTAAAGTGATCCTAATAGGGTTTCAAGGTATGTTAGATATTAAAGGGCTTTTACCAGTGTCATGCCCCAGTAAATTTCCTCAGCCAAGATGGGATTCAAACCCAGATCTCCTGAGTACGATTATGTCACTCTGTCCACTATACCACAATGGCTATTTTACAATAATGTAATAGCTGTTTAATATAATTGTGGAAAATATACCCATCGTATACTATTTTAAAAATTAAAATTCTACTGAGAACCAAGTTTTTAACTTCTACAGCACCCAGTTCTAGGAACATGAATTATAACTCAGAATGGCATGCATGAAGAATATTTTAAACAAAGTCCTCTTTTAAACACCAGTAAGGCAGAACAGCTGCTTCATCGTCTCAGTTGGGTCCAACTGTCAGTATGCTTTTTAAATTTATGTGGGTCTCACACTCAACAGCCCAGACAGACATAAGATGTAAGGCTTCTCCAACCTGTTATTACAAATCAAGGCTAGGAAGCTCTCTCATGACACTCAAGCACAAGTCAATGGCATATATTTGAAAACTATCTTGTGGCAGTTATGCTTAATTCTACTCTTCGCATTTGGTTCAGTTTGAACAGAAACTGAGCCATAAGGTTCCTTTCCTTCTAATGCATCCATTACATCAGCTAAGTAAGTTCCACTGCATATGAATTATGGAGTGGAAGCTTATGTGTGATTAGTAGTTTCTAACACAGTTTTAACCTCTTTAGACAAATGTTTTAGTCAATAGCAACATCTCCTTTTACTGGCAAATATCAGCAGTCAAGACAAAGTGAAAATCAAAACAAGAAATCTGTGTGAGTGAACTGCATAAGTGTTTGTGGACTGCTCCATACAATACCTATTTAAGAACTAGTGTGGTGTAACATTTAGAGTGTTGGACTGTAGCTCAGGAAATCTGGATTAAAATTCCCATTTAAACATGAAACTCACTGGGATTCCGGCTAATGAGTCTTCCACCCACTTCCCATTGCCCAGGATCATATCTGTCTGCAGCATGGAAGCAGTATTACTACCATATCAGGTAGTAATATGTCAATTCACTCATCTGAGACCAGGAGTGGAAGCAATGCTTGGTAAACTACTCATCCTTGTTGGGTTCTCAACCCAATGAAGCACCAAGATAAAATTTTCAAGCCTCATGAGATTCCTCACTCCAATGAAAGAGTGAAATAAGGTATGATTTTGCCATCAAAGTTTATGCAGTATAAACAAAATGCTTCTGCAGTAGTATACACAAAACTGGTCAGCCTCCCTTTGAAGAAGCAAAGCACACATGGATGTGTGTCTGCGCACACACAGAGAGACAATACACGAGCTATTAAAGAAGGACTAGCTGTTGTTGCTTTTTTTAAATGCAGAGAATCCATCTAATATTTTAGGCTTACAAAAGTCTATGAAACTCAGCAGCAGCTACTAACAGTTTGCACAAGATATGCAATTTGGGTAAAACCCATTCAGTCTGCAACACCAGAAATATATTGTCTCACCAGCCAGGAGATAAAAATGTAATTCCTCCTTTTTGGATGACAAGTCAAGGAAACATTTACATCCCTATCTGGGCCCACTTATAAACTGATGCAACAGTTTGTGGGATTTAGCCATTCAGCCTTGCTTTCTGTAGAAATGTCACTAAAGATAAATACCTTAGGTTGTTCAAACTGTGTTGAGGGTTTTTATCACTGGATAAAATGTGGGTTTTTTAAAAGTTATTTTAAAAAATGTTACTGCATCTGTAAAATGCATTTGTTTTATTCACTCCCTCTGTTCTCAGTTTGTTAAAACAATCTAAGAAGTTATGTCTGGTGTGCTGCGCCACCTTCTCTGTGGGCCAATAAAACTGAATGGAAGCAGGCAGTGTCTGCATGAAAATGCTCTTTCCTAGATCTTCCATGCAGCTAGAAAAACAGGCCTACGAACACAAAACCGGTTTCACCTTTTTATCACCAATTTCTGCAGCTGACTAAATGTCACACAAGTATACTTCTATTCATCATAAACACATTCTCTGAAGCAAGTATTTGACACTTTCAATCAAACTGTCAGCTGAATACTCAACTACTGGAAGAAGGCATTTCCTCTCCTTTTGTTTATTTATTTAGATTATTGTTTTAACTCTTCCCTCCCTCTTTCAATATTAGGACTTTTTCACTGATTACTGTACTTTCAAATAGATATATTGAATTAAAAAATGTAAAGGGATTTCTAACCAGAAACATGTGCTATGCTGTATTTGTCTTTTTCATAAGCCAATGAACTTTTCTGAATGTAGTAAAAATTTTATAGTACCACAGATCGACTGTCAGCAAATGCTTTACTTTCATCTAAGTTAAGACTTCAATTGATTTTCTCCATTATTATTCTTCCACCAGACTACTTGGTTCCTAATATAACAGCCCTATAGGGAACAGAATAAATTTGTCAGTATACTCTTGTGTTCAATAGCTGAAAACAAAAAAGGTATAAATTTTTATTGGATGAATATGCCTAGAGCTGCATTCCTAAGCATGCTTGTTTGGAAGTAAGTCCAAATGAAATTAATGGGTCGTATTTCCAATCAAAAATTGTTTAAGATTTGGATGTAAGAGATTTGAGACATGGTTCCGTATTTTTAGAACAAAACAACTGAACTGAACTTTGTTTTAGAAATCGCAGAAACTCTTTAACCCTTGTATGTTGTATGTGAGAGAAAACCCACCGCATACGGTATTTACTCTGAAGTGTTACTGTGTTCAACAGGATTTACTTCTAACCAAGAATTGTGTCCACATTTTGTCTGGTACCACATGGAGCTCAGAAGGTTTTATTCTTCATATAATACATCCATCGGAAGGTTACTGAAGGATACAATCTTAGAGTGTTGTTTGGAATACTTCTGAGGAGTTGTAGCTCAGAATGCAGTGGCCACATCCGTACCTTAATAAAGAAGAGACTTCCAGATGAAAAATAAGGATAAAGTAATTCACAAAAGATAAGCAGCAGAACACATCTGTACTTCTAAGTAGAGGGTCCACAGATGTTGTAAATTACTATCTCACACAGTTGTCTCTCTAAAAAATGTCAACTTTAAAAGAAAAGTTCAGCAATGACTGGAAATTTTCACAGCATGAATTGTCAACAAATAAATTCAGCAGTACAGGATCAATTAGGCAAAAGAATGATTTAGAGAGTGAAGTCATACAGCTGTTAACTCTTGGGGCCATTTTAAGTAGATTACATTAACTTATTCTTAGAGTTCATTCAACAGTCCAGTCAGGCCAAAAAAAAAAAAAGGCATTTCAACTTCCACTGAGTTTTGTACGGCTTACTTCGGAGCAGAAAAAAAAATAACCAGGAGATTTTATGCACTATAAATAAGCATGTCATTGAGTTTACTGAGATATGTTAACTTAAATCCTAATATTTTGTGTTAACCTTGCTGTGGATCAGACTGTAAGAATAAGGTTTGTGCACTGACAAGACAAGGATTTAAATGTCTGTGCATCAGCTTATCTGTGGAATGGGTCAGCCTACTAATTTAAAACCCAAACCTAACCACATCTCCTTGTAAGTCCTACTGATTTCAGTGAGCAACTTCCAAGTAAATATGCTTAGGAATACATACTTATCTTTGCTTTAGTTTATGCAACAGGCAACTATAGCTCCAAGTGTATTTTTAACATACCAAAGATGATGCTGGTCAGGAAGAAAGGGAGGCTTGTGGCAAGCTCTAAACAGTTAAAGCCTGCATCTAAAAATATGGGCAGTAAATCTCATTTCTCAAATCTAGTGAAAAGAAGGCCATCAATTTCAGTAAACAGCCCTTATTATGCAGTCCTGCTTCTGTCTGTTATCTTTAGGGTCTGAAATTATGCTCTGTCAGATTTCAGGATGCCTCAGTTGATATGATCTATATTGCGGAAGTATTATTTGCAAAACCACTCGGCAAGGCAGTGTGCAATTTACTTTTCAGCATGCATTGCTCCCCCAAAAACAAACAGGAGTTTCCAGAAGGAGGAGGAAAAATCAGACTTCTACTTAGACAAGCCTTTAAGAAGAAAAGAGAACCTGAGTTCAAAAGCCAGAGTTCAAGGTAAGTCGGGCATAACTATTATATCTGCCAAAGACGTTGAAAGGTATTATTCTTTCCATTGTTCATTTATGCCAAAGCACATCCAGAGAATCTCTTCCTGCCACACTTCTTCTGCAGGGAGGCAAAATTATGTCCATTTCATCAAGTATATCCATTCTGCGGAGGGGGTTGCAGAAATGGGTCCTAACTAAGTCCTGGTATTGTGGACGACAGGATTCCCAGGCTTCATCCGCCTGAGCCAACCTTTGACAGCTGGACTTCCTTTCCATGCCACCACCACCCCCACTCCTCGCCACACAAGCAGCTTGAAACATTAAAAGCTGGAAACACTGCCTTGGAATGGTGTTCCCCTTGAACCAAGGGGACTTTAATTCAAGTCAGTGAATTAAAGAAGAGTCTTCCACAAAATCGTTCTTTACCTAACACAACCGGGGAGATTTCGGTTAAGGTTGAGCTATGCAAGGATCCACAACCTGGTGTCGGTGCTAAAGAGGTGCTTGCCTCTGGCCATGTGCAAAGTATCCCCCCCCCTTTTCCCCTGCAGAGATCAGACCTCTTAGGATGCTACATACAGGCAGGCTGAACACCTCCCCCCCCCGGGTCCCCTGTGAAATAAAAGGCACCCCCGTTTTCTTTCTCCTCCCTCTCTCTTACTCACAGGGACACGGTGCGGTTGGGCAGCAAGGAAGGCTGCAAAGTTTCCACCAACTCTCCTCCGCTACAGACAACTTTGATGCGGACCGTTTGCCGGCCGGGTCCCTTGGAGCGTTCGGCGGTGCAAAGGCAGCTGTCAACCACGAGGTCCGGGCAATTCCGGTTGGCCCCCGACAGCCCCACCACGGCGGCCGCCGCCACCAAGCAGAGGCAGCAGCACAGCCCGTGCATGGCGAGGCGGCGGGCGGCCTCGG